TGGTAAATCATCATTTTTTATAGGTAAATCATCTATAAGTCAGCCATGTTCAATAGCTATGTCAAATTACCGGAGAGTAACATATAGTAATAATATCATCGATATTCTGTGGCGTTCAATAGGGAAGCGTAGTTGCCACATGGTAAAATTGACTGATATAATGGGTTGTTCAACGGGTGAATTTTACCCATTCATGCTTGGCTTTCCATGGTGACTTAAAAGGGCTGATATGACAGAGGAATTGATTCACAATTCAGCCATTGCGCCATGGGGGGCTGTAGGGATTAAAATTTGTATGCTTTTGTGGCTTCGTTTGCCCATGAAAAGTCAAAAAACATATTCCTGCCACATTTTTTTGCAAATGATGGTTGATGCTGGTTGTATCCCATGATGGCCATAGGTCAAAAATGCTGCTATGCTTCTGTCCACCAAAAATAGCTGGGATGGATCTTCATAGCCCTAAGATATCTAAGATGTGGTAAGCTGTGAAACCGAAAACCATCCGGAGTCGACCATAAATTCATGTTGCCAATGGCAGTCCTGACCACCAGTGTCGCAAGAATTTGGGTGGTCTCCCTGCCCCGGAGGGGGCCTCATCCAACCAATACCCACCTTCTCCCCATTTCTCCTGATGTGCATCCCAGCTAGTTGGTGACTAACCACACAACTGTACAACCCAGTTCCTAGTAAAAAGAGGAGTATTCTCACTTATATATGGCTTACATGTGTATATATATATATATACACATTATACATACGCATGTATTTACTGGCTATCTCTCACTTTCAGGGATGCACCCTTAAGTACATTTTTGAGTTTCTGTAGCAATGACCAGTTTCTTACCATGTCACCTTGTTTCGCTGTGATTTCTGTGGCTTTTAAGCTGTCAGGAAATGCCACGAAAGCCGTCCTGGTTTCCGCTACGCGCATGACCCGCACTCTGCCCTGGCTGCGTCATGGGGATCGTTGGGCTGCGTCCCCGTTTGGTGCGGAAGATGTTTGTCATACCCTTCGATTTCTGTGGATTATACCATATCCCAGGTGCTCCATGTGTGGTATATTTAGCAACATGTGCCCTAAGAATCACCCAAATGTAGGTATATATACCAGCACCATGGATCCTATGGGTATGGCTTGTTAATATGGTTTATAATCCACTGGGATGCACATCCAGGCCGCCCAAGTGGGGAACCAGCTCCATTTAGATACACATCGCAAAGCAATCAGAAGGATTTCTTGATCTCGATCCGGCATTTTCCCATCAGGTCAGAGAATTGGGGCTTTGATTTCAAGTTTGGCCACTTGGTCAAACTAAGTGGCCCCCAAAAAATGGATGGTTTCACACTCAACGTCACCACTTTTGTAGATCCAAAATGCTCCACTAGTACAGGGTTGGTGGTCCTGAAGTGAACTATAGCAGTGGAATATTGATGCTTATAGATTCCGACATCAGAGTGAAAGTTCCAGGAAAATCGGTCTGAAATCACCCTTTTGAGTGGTTGAATTATGCTGAATAGTGTTGAATTGCAAACTCCTCAAGCCTCCAAAAGGCTCCAAACGCTGTAGACCTCTCCATGCACCACGACCTGCACCGTCCGGATCGATGATCAGAGCCACTGTGGGTCTGGAATGATGCGGGAAACCCGGTACGTTGCGATGTTGATCGTCTGCTAAAAAAGTGAAAGTGAGATATTTGGTAAACCCATATATGCCCAGACAAGCTCTCAATGAAAGTGTACAAGCTGGTGCCCAGTGTACAAGCTGGTGCCCAATTATAAGTTGGTTTATAAGTTTATGACTTATGACCCCCTATCCACCTCTATTCACTATAGATAAAGCTACCATAAACCTAACAATTATTGGAGTTCTGCTCCCCAACTTAGGTGGCACCCGGCCTGTCGCGGTTTGGGCACCCGCGTGGCGCGCTCGCCCAAGCGTAACATGCGGTAGTACTTCTTTTGCCACTCCTGTGGCCAAGTGGGGAACCTGGATGCACAAAACCCAAAGTTTGGGTGCTCAAACTTGGCTGGAAGATCAACGAAATGAAGGATTTAAATTGGGAACATCAACTATAACTGGAGGATTTTCCTTTGCCATGTCTGAAAACTGGAGGGTACCCTCTGGTAAACTAACATAACTATGGAAAATCACCATGTTTATATAAAAGGTAAATCAACTATAAATGGCCATGTTCAATAGCTATGTCCGATTACTGGAGGGTAATCTTCACAGTGTCGATTCTCCTCCGTGAACATCTCCAGCTCATCTGGAGCCTTGTAACCTGGGCGGTAAATCAATAGGATCCACCCTCAAAAAGCATCCCCGATGACATACCCCATGACTTTGTGGATTGAAACTCTGAATCAATATATATATATATACATATGTACGTATATACATACATATGTATATATACATATGTATATATACATATGTATATACATATACATATACATATACATATACAGATACAGATACATATACATATACATATATATATATATGTGGTTTATGACATTGCTTTACTAACATTAGAGTTGCTGCCATGGGACCAACGTAAGCCACTCCAACACTAATGGCTTTCTTGTCCTACAGCAAGCACGGTGCTTCGTGCAGTTCCAGTCTCCATAGAGGGAGCCCCAGAGATCCAAATTAGATAGATAGATAGATAGATAGCTTTGTATCTACCTCAGGAGAATCCTACTGGGAAAGAATTGACGCGACAGTGCGAGGACGAACTACTTGCTACATGCAGGGACTAAGTCTTCCCGCACGATATAATCCCACTACCGGTGGGATAATATCATGGGATAATGATCGGATAATGTTAAGAAATCACTCCAGTGGCTGGTTCATTGGGGCCATTTTGGTAGCCAATGATCACCACTTTGGGGGAACCCCAAAGTAGACCCTCTGGTAATCAAACATGGTAATGGAAAACCCCTTGTTCATAGATGATTTTCCCTGTAACACCTCCATTTAGTTCGTGGTGAAAATCGGCTACTACGTTGAACGAGGCCGGCAGAGGGTATTTTTTTGGATGGTTCAAAACCTATGAAATTACCATATTTGGGGAAATCATAATCCATTGACCAGCTGTTTCAGGGCCTTAGGGTACCAGGGTTTTGACCCATAGCCCTATCAACTTTGGTCTCCTTGGCGACAATTGCCCCCATCATCCCGGGCAAATGCCGACGTCCTTAGCTTGAGATGCCATGGACAGCAAGGCATCAGGCAGTTCGACTTGATCTCGCCCCACGGCACTGCTCCTGCGGTCAGATCTGGTGAAATCTCATCTGGAATCAATACATTTCGCCAACACACCTGGTTTGAAATAAAAAGCTCTTGACGTAGTTGGTGAAGCAAGATACCTGCCACAGAAGCTCATCAGTCGGTATGAACATCTTCGCTTTTTGGCAGGATTTACCACTGCTGTTAGCCAGAAATTCCTACAACCAGTTACTAGTGGAGGCAGCCTGCTTGAGTGGTTGTATCACAAGATAGCTCTCAACTCTCACGCAAGTGAAGAGGTGCGAGTCAGACAGGTCTCAGGGCTCTCGGGGTCTCTGTTTCCACTTGGGGTTGTCTCAGAATTGTGGATACACCAATTCATGGCTATCTATTAATGGGAAACTTTACTTTCTAAGCTCAGGGTTCATCCATTCTCCTGGTGATATGTGAAAATCAGAGAGATGAACGGAGGAACCTACTCTTGGTATCTTCATCTATGCAACCATAGCAGTCCCCCACAGAGAAACCATCAGAAGCCTGCGATTTTTCTCGACACTTGGAGGATCCCAACGTCCAATCTGCCGCCCCGTCTCCCGCACATGCACACGAAGATTGCACGTTGGTTCACCTGGATCTAAGTCAGAGATTTCCAGATCTCATCCGTGGCAGCCTTTAAAACACAACACATATGGTGGCAGGAAACATCAGGAAACTACATGGTACTTCGATGTTTCTATGTACAATTTGGGGTTGAGTTGATCCGCGAGTTTGCTCACCATGGATGTCCCAAAAAAACTGGAGCATCCAATGTGCACACGGTCAATGATCATCCAACCTCTAAACAGGGATTCGGGATTCGCTCATGAACACCTGATGATTGATATCATACAGATGGTACTACCATGTCAGGCCCTGGGAAACCAGCACCAGTCCCACCATAACTCCATGACTCAACATCCTGTCCCCAGAAAATGTTACTGTAACCACTGAGCTTGGAGATCCCATCGACAGATGAACTGTACCTGGAACTGTCGAGGCTCCCAAGTTCATCTGGTTGGTGGTTTTTCCCTACCCCTCTGAAAAATATGACTTAGTTAAAGTCAGTTGGGATGGATGGAACTTCCCAACTGAATGGAAAGTCATGAAAAATTCCATGGTTCAAATTCTATGGTTCCAAACCCTCCACCAACCAGTCATTCTTCCGCGCCCGCGAGTCGATTCGCCTGCTGAAACCACTCGGGTTCGATTTCAGGATCCGGCTTCTCCTGACCATCACAAGTCTGGCTGGTACTGGTACCTGAAATGAATGAAAAAAGAGATAGTATCTCTGGTCATTTCTTAACGATGGAAAGATCCACCATTCTGAATGGTTAAATCAAGGATTTCGAGCTGGGCCATCCCAGTTCGCTATGTTTTTTATGACCAGAGGCTAGAAATCATCCCGAATCGTCCCCCAGAATCCAGATCTGCCAGAACATCATTCTGCCAGGCCATACCCTCTGGTTACATAATGGTGATTTAATGGTGATTTAATGGGATATAATGGGGATTCAATGTGGTTACCCGGCCTGGTCAACATTTACATATATAACTATGGAAAGATCCACCATTTTCTAGCTGGGTAAATCCACTATTTCGACTGGGTCATGTTCAATAGCGAACTGTCAACGTTTACCGGAGGGTATATAAATGGTGGTCCAAATAGGGACATGTTTGGTGTTTGCCCTGACTACCCTCTGTTTTCCAAAAACCCAAAAACCCAAAAATCTCGGTGCTCTTCGATCGCCCGTCGCCCATCGTCCCAGGGCATCCACACGGTCTCACGCATGATGGGCCCCAGCAACGCTTGACGCTTCCGAGCCAAGTGCCTCAGCCGTGCCGACGTGAACCCCGTGGCACAGGAAGACGTGGCGATGTTGCAGGCGTTACACGGTGCCAAAGTAAAATGGGGAATGCCAAGTAAAGCTGGGGAACTTGATAAGAAAATGAAAAAATATATAGATCTATAGATCTGTAGGACATTGAATCAGGTGTCAAAACGTGTTTTTTTCTGGGAAAACCTGTCAATTTGAATGCGGAAGCCAGGATATTTTTTACCATACTCCAGCAAGTCCACTACTTCCAGCAATAGGGTGATCTTGATTCATTGGAGGGGAAATGGGGGAAACTCATGGGATACTGTACTAATGGGAAACGTGGGAAATTTTGATAAATTTGGTACAACGTGGGGCCCCCGTTTACGATAGCGTTCAGTTGGTGAACATAACTCCAAATTCACTATGGTTTATGGTACGCAAATAACTATAGTTACTGAAACCAACTTATAACTGGGGGGGCACATTGTATGATTGCAACCTGGTTTTCGCAATCGGCTTTGCAACATTTTGCGACACTTTGTTCCTGTGCCCTCAAACGCTCTCCAGCAACGCAACTGCTGTGCACTGAATGGCCACGTGCAAAGACCTAGCTACACAAATGCCAAGCGGTCTGCAGCCGCAGAGCTGTCACCACCATTAGCTGGAGCGCCCCAAGTCACAATTGATCCATCTGCCAGGATTGCGATAAATGCCTGTCCAGACGCTTGAATCTGTCGGACACCTTTCAGCTGATCTCGCACGCGAGAGCTGTCACCACCATCGAATGCACTGCCCCAAGTCACAACTGACCCATCGGCCAGGATTGCAGCAAATGCACGTGTCGTTGCTTGAATCTGTTGAACATCCTTTAGCTGATCCCAGACGTCAGAGCTATCACCACCAGACTGTGGCGCGCCCCAAGACACAACTGACCCATCGGCCAGGATTGCAGCAAATGCATAGTCTGTTGCTTGCACAAGTTGGACACCTTTGAGCTTTTCTTGGACGAGAGAGCTGTCCCCACCAAAATGAGGATTGCCCCAAGTCACAACTGACCCAACCGCCAGGACTGCAGCAAATGCGTCTTTCGTTGCTTGAATCTGCTGCACATTTTCTAGCTGATCCCAGATGTCAGAGCTATCACCACCATGATGTGGGTCGCCCCAAGTCACAATTGACCCATCTGCAAGGATCGCAGCAAATGCAAGCGATGTTGCTTGAATCTGTTGGACACCTTTGAGCTGATCTCGGACGCGAGAACAGTCACCACCACCAAATGGACTACCCCAGGTCACAACTGACCCATCGGCCAGGATTGCGGCAAATGCATTTTTTGTTGCTTGAATCTCCTTGACACCTTTCAGCTGATCTCCGACGCGAGAGCTGTCACCACCCTCGAATACACTGCCCCAAGTCACAACTGACCCATCGGCCAGGATTGCAGCAAATGCACGTGTCGTTGCTTGAATCTGTTGAACATCCTTTAGCTGCTTCTTCACGTTAGAGCTATCACCACCAGACTGCAGTGTGCCCCAAGTCACAACTGACCCAGTGGCCAGGATTGCAGCAAACGCACCCGACGTTGCTTGAATCTGTTGGACACCTCTGAGCTGAGGTTGGACGTGAGAGCTGTCACCACCAGAAAATGAACTGCCCCAGGTCACAACTGACCCATCCGCCAAAATTGCGGCAAATGCATCTTGTGTCGTTTGAACCTGTTGGACACCTTTGAACTCTGGGATGCGACCATGGGGGCCACGTTCTGGACTGCCCCAAGTCACAACCTGGTCGCCTTCGCAACAAAACAGCGCGATACAATTCGCAGTTGCCGCTACCTTGGCCTCTCTGGCAATGGCTGTCAGGTGGTCTCCTTCTTTGAGTTCTACAGCTTGCAGAAACTCCTCAGGATGCAACACACGATTCTTTGTGTCCACAAGCTTCAAAAAGCCAAGTTGAAAGAATTTCTGCGCCAGAAGCCGTAAGTCCCCTACTTTGGAGGACTCCGGAAGTTCAAATGTCTCCGCGCGACCGCTCGGTATAGCTACACTGACACGAAGCATCATAAACACAAATTTACGTATTCAAACATGTCAACACTCAAAGTTCCTCCCATTAATCTCAAGCCAAACTGCCAATAATTGCCACCCTTTTCACGTTGTGAAAGAAAAGCTTTTTCCGGCTTGGATCGTTAGCGGTTAGCGCAACATGGATCCACCAGAGCGATGTATCTTGCCCAAAAAACATCAAGATTATGCAATGAAAATCGATGGAAGTCATCAGGATTAGACATCTGATATCTCAGTCAGATGTCATCAGGGACATCGTACAAGGCCCTTGCAATCGAAACAGCGGGACTGGAGCATTCCCCAGGAATCCATAGGAATCCCATCCCACTCCGGCATCTGTGGTCTCTGGCTCTTGCAGAGCTTTTCCTGCTGCATTCTCCTCGGGTGAAGTCAGAAGTCTTTAAACATTCAAAAGTGTCCCATGGTCAAATCCCATGGGAGTCGTGGTCTTTTTTGTCACAAAAATCCCATGCCGGGTCGAGATTTTGATTGCGGGCCGCGCCTGGTCCATCTGCAGGAACTTCCGGATGTCCCGCTGCGCCTGTTTGAAAAGTGGTGAGAATTCACCCCCATGGATTGCGGTTCGTGGGCTGTCCTCGAAGCTTTTCGAGAAAAATGCTTCGGAGCGGCCCAAGATGTGGGAAAGCTCCACCCAAAAATTTGGGGCTCAAAATCTTCCAGGCCCATTCTTATCTTTGGGACCACTTGGAGGTTCCCTCTTGACCACTCAGGGTGTGAGACGCCGGAAATTGAAGATGGAGAGGTCAATTTGTGCAGGAGATTATATTTCTTGGGTACCCAATCTCCATATTTTGGTTGGTGTCCAGCACTTTTGTTCGCAGAATCCTGACTCTTGGAGTAGTAGAGTAACCGCGCCATTCGCGGGAGTCTTGGAGCGTCATTTGTTTGAATCCTCCAATTCTGGCTGAATTATATACTCTCTGGTAAGTTAACGTAGCTACGGAAAATCACAATGTTTAATAGGTAAATCATCATAAATCATCTCAACATGGGCGATTTTCCTATGCTAAATAACCAGAGGGTACAGTATAGCAAAATAGATCCTATAGATTGTCAGAATCCCAGGCCACCATTCCATCTTTGGGTAGGTGGGGTTTCCAAACGATAGCTAAGTAAAAACAACTGAATTAAACAAGGTTGTATGGCAAGTAAAACAGTAGTATAACCATACATCATGGGCTTTATAAACCAACTTGGGATTATAAATCGACTTTCTAGTTCATGCCCCCCTAGTTGTAGATTAAAATCACGATTGACCCTATAGAGAAATCGAGCCTAGAACTGCATGGTGCCACCTTCCTCTGATTTGACGCAACGTCCCGCAAGTTGTACTCTCAGCGACCTGGCCTGCGCCAGAATAGCGTCCGTGCCTTTCACCTGCAGCGCGAGTCAAAGATCATGCCATGATTTTCACAGATTTTCACACTTGTTCACCATTTTTCATGGGGGCTTTTCATCCATATCTATCCCAATTTCTTGATGTTTCTTGATATCAACTGGCCAGCAACACCACATGGTCCACGTAGTCAAAGGCAGCTGTTGCCCTCCTCCGCGAAAGGTCTCAGGATCCCAGTGGATCCAGTGCTAGGATTTCGACTTTGAAAGGTGTCAGTACTTGGATCATCCCGCACCAGTGTGAACAGCCATAGTAACCCAGCTGGGATAACCATGGATAACCCCACGAATCAGGGTTTTTTGATGAAAACCACCGTTCTGAAAATTCATGTTAGATGATCCACCAAGTAAGCTACCAGCGTTTCGGCCAGCTGAAATATGAACGTTGGCAAAGTGCTATGCCAAAAAAACTCGAAAGAATTTACGATGTGGGCAAATTTTACCAGTACAGTCACTCATACTTAATCCAAAAAAGTTTTAATCCTCGAAAATGAGCAACTGTGAGCACCCCTGCGCTATCTCGAAGGATAAGAACTGCGCTCGCTGCTTACACCCTCTTCCTCATCACCCTTCAACATGGCGGGCCGCACCAAGTCGGCGCTTCAAGATTGCTGGTTGTCATGTCACTTTGGTGCATGAACATCTGGGCAACGGGTTCATCACCATCATCATCATCATCACCACCATCATCATCATCATCATTATCATCATCATCATCTCAACTTCAAGAATCGATGTTAGCCATCAAAGTTGGGCCACTGGGCAAAGTTTCCATGGAAAAACGGTTGTGTCTCATCCGATCCTCTCCTGAAATAGGCTTTGGCATTGCTGGGGTTGGCATCGATGGCCAAACTGCATCTCTGGATGGCCTCGAGAGGCGTGTGCGCTTAGCGCTTATTAGGCTGGGTTGCATCAACTACTAGGACACTCCATCTGACCAGGGGGATCGAACCATGTATATATATATATATATAATATTTATATATATATATATTATTATTATTATTATTTATTATTATTATTATTAGTATTATTATTATTATTTATTATTATTATTATATATATATAATAGTTATATATATATGTATTTAATAGTTGTATATATTTAATAGTCAAATTGTATTAAGTTAGATCATACTACAGTATTTTATATATAATATACATATATATTGTACTAAATCATATTATATACAGTCATAATAGTGCTGTAACCCGAGATCATCAGATCAACCAGGGTCCCAAACACTTCCCCTCTGAACCACCATGCTGATGGCATGGCAATGGAGACTCCATGGCTGACCGAGGTTCATAGCAGCTTTTTGATTTGTGGACTATGCTCATTTGCCGGGACAAGTAGGTTAATGGCAAGAATCTGGCTGCCTCCAAATCCTCCAAAAAATCAGGGCATACCCGTGTGACCAAGCAAATTTTTCAAGGCATGCAGCGATAAATTCTGCTCACAACCTTCAGGTTGAAACATCTTGACCATGTACCCAACAATGTGACTACCCTCTGGTAAACTAACATAACTATGGAAAATCACCATTTTCTAGCTGGGAAAATCCACTATAAATGGTCATGTTCAATAGCTATGTAACAAATTACCAGAGGGTATCTCAAAAAAAGAAATGATACCCCTGCCACTGGGACCGTAATGAAATTATGTGCCAACCGTTCCATTGCCATGGCTTGCATTCAATGTTTGTATACAACTCCTCCGTCATCACTGTTCTTTATCAGTCCAAACTGAGTGTCTATATAACTCATCAAGACAATCAGAGAGTCCATGGAAAAATGAAAAAAAAACATATGTAATCTTTACCCTCTGGTAAACTAACATAACTATGGAAAATCACCATTTTTTTATGGGAAAACTCACTATTTCTATGGTCATGTTGCAGTTCGCTATGTAACAAATTACCATTTCGGGTAGATCTGCCCAGTGAACGGGGTCGAAATCCAACCTTGGATAGCTGCCGAATCGAAGGATCCAAATACCTCCGCAGCCGCGTCGCCGAAGTCGACCATCTACTGGGGATATCTCGAAAGTCGATCTGGGCAAATTGTACCCTCTGGTAATTTATTACAGTTTGCTATTGAAAATGGCCATAGAAATAGTGGATTTACCCATTGAAAATGGTGATTTTCCATAGTTATGGGACAGTTTACCAGAGGGTAATCTGGGGGATTATACAATGTAATAACCCTTGATCAAGAAAATCCCTTTTTTTTAAGAAACTCAAAGGTTTGTAGAGAAAATGTATACAGAACCCTGTACTGGTTGGTGGTATACCTACCCCTCTGAAAAATGATGGACTTCGTCAGTTGGGATGATGAAATTCCGAACTCAATGGGAAAATAGACAAATGTTCCAAACCACCAACCAGATAATTTAATAATGTAATGACCTAGGATATTATAATAATTATCATCTAACGTATGTATGTATGCATACATATATATATATATACAATGGGCAAATTATAGTAATTCACTAACCTGAAATGTTCAGCCATTTTGGGATGATTCCTCTATAAAAGCCATGATTCCAGGGCTCGGGAGACTGTCAACTGAGTTTCCACACACTGACTCCAACTGACTCTAACTTCTTCAGTTTCTAAGCTTTGGAGCCAGTTGTAACACCTAGTTTCTAATTTGTATGTTCACTAGCCCATTGTGGCTGAAAAATGTCGTTTCCAGGCAAGTAAATACATCATACAAGGTTGGTCTGCATTAGTATCCGATGGTATACCTGTCACTTTCAGTGGTCGTAAGGGCGTGTCTGAAAATGGCCCATACATCCAACATAGCAATTTGAGGCACTGGGATGTAGGGGCATTGCGTCTCGGATGTAGTGTGTACAAACATTTACCCTCCGGTCATCAAACGTCGGACGGGGAAATCTCGAACGGAACTGGAGATTTCGTTTTCCAGTTGAGCACCATTTTTAGACTGCGCATGACTGGGTCACATTGGGTCACTGCATATCAAAATGATCTCTCCCCATGTTTAGAGACTTAAAAAACATTTGGTGGTTGAATCCCCCTACAAACACCCCTACAGAACACTCTACAACAGTCTCCTTTATGGCTTTATATCAATTTACATCCATTTACACATGTTGGTAGTATTTTTTTTGTCTATATAATTTATATCAATTTACATATCTATAGCCTTAGATCATAAATCGATCCCCATCTCTGGCAGTCAAGCCCCACGGGGGAAGAATCCCCGGAAGTCTCGTCCCGCGCACATCTGCGCCGCGTTGGCTGCCAAGATGGACAGCAACTCTCGGCCCTCCGGGGTCTGTTGCTCGAAAGCCTGGCGAACTCAGGGAGGTTGAGCTGCCCGGAATCCCAATATCAGCCACATAAGTCTATTTATGTATATCCCTATGGATCCATGGCCACTGTCTGAGCATACCCCAAAATACTTCTTAAGGAGGTACTTGGATCCATAGGATATGTATATACAGTATATATGATTTCTGGAAACGGTACATGTCTATCCATGAACAACATCGCAATTTCTGGATTATGTATAATATCTGTATGCATACCGATTTTCCTAGCCAATTGGCAATGTTTTCGGTAACTCCAAAATGAACCCAACCCAAAATGAAGCCTAAACCAGGCCTCATGTCAACCAGAAAATAAAACTGTCCCAAGTTCGGTGATTTTGACACCGCCTAGCAGGCCCTCGCCCAAAATGAAAAGAGACGCTCACGCCGAAGCAACACAGCAGATTGCAGTCCCGCATGGAATTCTGTTGATTGCAGATAAACGTCTACTCAGAGTATATACCCTCTGGTAAACGTTTACATAGTGAACTGGAAAATCACCATGCTATTAATAGGTAAATCAACTATTTCGACTGGGCCATTTACAACAGCAAACTGTTAGTTTACCAGAGTATGTAATTGTTTAACAAACATACGGGGAAATTCCCAACCACGTTTTGATT